GCTTCTTGTTCCTACTAGTAAGGCACCTGTTACTACTAGCGTGGCACCTGTTACTACTAGCTTCCTGTTACTACTAGCTTCCTGACCCTAAACACCATCCAAACAGGTGAAATCGCAGTGGTCTGTCGCTCACCTCGCTGTCGCCGCCGCTGCTGGTCCGTCGCTCCGTGGCCGGCGTCACTGCGGTGCCGCCCAGCATCAGCGCCATGGCCTCGGTCGTCAACGGGTGGAGGTTGTCTGTAGAGGTGGTCCCTATATAGGTGGTACTTAATATAAAAGGAGCTTCTGTTCCTTAAACTGCATAATTCCCAATTCTTCTAGCATTTTCGGAACCTTCGACTGGTCTCAAAAAGGGTCCAGCCACTCGACTCTCAGCGAGCGACCGCCGAGCTCTGGTCACAGTCGATGGACGTCGATGGGCCTCGCGAATCAATGCGTCTGCTTCGACGGCGCGCAACACGGCGCGGCGTGGGGGTTTCGCATCGCCGTCTTAAAAGGATCCCCTGAAAACTAATAACCAATAACCATCTGTGGAAAGTTAGGCAGTCGTCTATTATTGAATACTGCCAACTAAGACAACGAACCAAGAACCATCAATAACCATTCAACGAGTTTTCAGTTTTTCATCATTCATCTCCACCCTCCCCAGTCAACCCCCATTCTAAAACGTGCCACACCGATCTTCCTCTCGCTCCGTCCAAGTGGCCCATGATGCCCAACAAAAAGGAGGTCCGGTTGGAGGTGATGGCCTCAGCGCCAGGCGGCGACATCCATATCCAGCCACATCCACATGCCGAAAGAACACACCAATCAACAAAAACAGATCCAAAAAGCAAACAAATTCTCTAATCGTGCGACTTTACAATTTTAGACTTGTCAATGTAGACCCTGCAATTCGGAATGGTCATGTCGCGCCTGCGAGCTTCCTGTTCCGGAGCATGCACCGGCCTAGCAGTCCACTCCGCTCCGTGCGGTCCTCTGCTTCGCCATTGTCTAGTCTCGGATTGACTCGACATGGTGATGATCTGCTGAGAGAACGTTACAATAAGTGGATACTGAACAACTGTTACAATAAGTATTGGATACTGAACAACTGGATATGCTCTATTAGCTTTCTGTCGCAGTTGGGCATAAGAACACCTCTTCCAAACTTCCAGACTTGGAGGGACCAGGGATGCTGGACTCATGAGCTGTCACCCAACGATGCCAAGTTGGTTTCCTCAGGCCGCTGGCCTCCTTGTCAATGTAATTCCACTCAGGATTCGTGCCTCAGCAAGTGGCCAGTTCATGCCAATGGATGATACCCGATACCCCTTAAGTGTTTATATAGCATGCTGTTAGTCTTTGCTCCAAACCATGGCACCGAGATCATTTCCGTGGCGACGGTCGACGGCTCCGGTGCCCCCGGCAGCCGCTGAAGACGGCGATGTACTTTCCCATCAGTGACTGGCGGCGCGAAGAGGAGCAGTCGTCGGAGTCGGAGTGGATGGGGTGAGTCGGAGTCGGAGTCGGCGTGAAAAAGGATTTCTTCTTCGAATGGAACAAACTAATTAGAGCTCAGTTTATTTATTTGGTTTTGGGTTTTTTTTTGGGTTTTCATGGTGTTCAACGCGGACTCCCTCGTCATTTAGATCTTGACAGTATTCAAGCGCTCTGCCGACAAGAACAGCATGGTCGCTGCCTTTTTGTTGTAGCCAGCCATGAAAAGAGCCTGCAAGACACCAGAAGTCAAAGCAAACCCACCAAAAGAACCAGCGGTCAACCAGTGAACCTGTAGACCGACAAGCAAACACCCGTGCTTTCAGGCCTCATAGCTGGTCTCTAAAATATGTCTCTGCATTGGGTCCATGCCCGTAGCTTCCATGTTGGACCTCAACGTTCAGGATCACCCTCTGTTTGTGTGTGTGTGTGTGTGCGAAATGCACAGGTACTAACTTTATGGTAAGCCTCACAATATGAGAAAAATTGAGAAAACTTTCCCCGGTAAGTCATGCTTCCAATTTGACAATCCATACAGCCAATGCAGCCATGCAAAAAAAAATGGGAGTGTGTTTCCAGACCCTTTGAGCTGCTGAAGCACTTGGACACATCCTCGTTCGAAGTTGTTTTCCTTCACGTCTGAGCTTCCAGGCACACCGAAGAATTTATTGTCGAAAAGATCTACACCTGTGCACGAAGCGTGCTGCTCGAAGCATGAATCATGCAGCTGAATCTCCATTTTCGGCAGGACCCAAGCTCTCGCCAGAAACCTTCAAGATTCTATCTGCAACTGCACAGTGCAACACTGAACAAGTTCATTCTTCTATAAGCACTTGCCGCTTCTTGCACATGCTTTCACATCGAGCTCTGATGTATTCTAAAGTCAAAGAACGAACCCAGTGTCTACGCATGGCACACTGTGTTTCAACTCTCACAGCGACGTTTCGTCAAGAGCGCCTTCAATGAACTGACCGTGCTTGATGTTTGTCCTTAGCGTTTAGCCGCACTGGTTGTGCGATGGTGGATCGTCCTGAAGAAAAAGCTGGAATCCCATGGCCATTCCGGATGTTCCATCAGCTTCATGCTCATCAACAAAGGACATGTTTTGAGGGACATTTCCTCTTAAACCGCAGCCTTGGACACCAGATGGTGTTCGTCTCCTTCGGCTTTCGACCTGATCCGCTCAGGTGCCCACCTGATCATGCCACCGGGACGGAAGCACGAGGCCTCGGTTGGTAGAGAGGTGTTCGGTCAATGCCCCACCGGTCACTGCACATGAGAGATTGAACTCTTGAATGTCTAGTCTTTCTCTTTAACTACGCTGGAATGTCGCTATCATTGGCAAATCAGAAACATGTCTTAACTACGCTGTAGAATTCCAAGATCGCGCTTTCTCTCTTCCAATCTTGCTGCGAAGTACCGATTTCGACCGGCCTGCATCCAGCAGTTGGGATCTGCGTCGTAGTAGAGCTCGTGGTCCCAACGGTGGTAGGGGACGTCCGTCACAAAATCAGATCCTGTCACTTGAATCAGGTGGATGAAGGCGATGCGTTGGTTCAAGTGCAAAGTCTATAGACTTTTCTCTGCAAAACAACAGACTTTTGAGGCAAGAAAACAAGCATGTCGCCGGCAACGGAATTGCGTTCTTTTTCACACGACGGCACTCTTTAGGGGAATCTAAAAGGAAACGCGCGATTTCGGACTCACGCCGAGATTTCTCAGAAACCGATGGCTCTTGCTGGCTGAGTTCGATGGCTCTTGCTGGCGTTCGGCCGGGTCGGAGTGATGCACCTTGATTGATGGCATCCCACCTGAGTCGAAGCGGTCATCGAGTGGAGCGAGCTGTGTCAGATTCTTGGGACATACGATCGCGCACGCGACGGCACGCGACGAGGTGAACATGGAGCCTCTATATCAGGCGAACATACGAGGCCTGGAAAGGATGATGTCTGAAAAAGGGGGCAACCATATGCGATGATGAACTTAAGGTCAACCCTTCGTGGATTCACACCTTACATGTGGAAATGTTAGTGCTGTCGAGCTGCAGCACGCGATTGTTGTTGGTGGTCGGCATATGCCCTGCCTGCCAGGAATCAAGAGGACGCAAAGGATGAAAAGGATTCTCACATTTGGAGTCCACCTATCAAAGGGAATCCTGAAAGGCAAGGGCCAAGGAGGTTCATGTGCTTTCTTTTCTGCCACCTTCCATTTTCGAAAGAACCCTGTGGAAGGACCTTGTGCCGACTTTCCCCAGGCCGACTTTCCCCAGGTCGACGTCGCCTCTCCCCGCACCGCCACGGGACTGCGGTTGTTTCGGAAAAAACTATGGCGCATCATCAGCTGCCTTAGGGCCGGTGCCGCGGATGCTGTCGACGTTTTTGTGCGACAGTAGAGTGGATTGAAGGAAACATTGATCAAACGTCTCAGCCTCAAGTAACTTGGTGTTGGTTGGTTTGGTATTGCTTTATAGGTGTTTTGGTTGTTTGTCGGCTTAGGGCTTAGGTGTTGGTTCTCTCCAAACGCCCTGAGAACGCTGGCCAGTCCCGAGGGATGTCGGCGTCTTTGTCAAGAGCTTCCGTCTCCAGCAACTCCTGCGCTCGTCGTTGAATAGACGGCAGTCGGTCCAAATACCAAGCGTCAGCAGTTTACCAGGGCGATTTAACAGGAGTCTGGGAGTTGCAATGATGGCAAATTGCATTTCAACTTCTTCGTTGAAACCGTCACTCATTCTTCTTGGCCAACCCGGCAGAAGACCACTGCAACCGAACAGAAGCGCCGGCAGAGACGCGCCTTGAGACGGTTCTGCGTCCACTCGACCAGTTCCCTGGCAGTGGGAATGGTGACGCCAAAGGTCCTCGCGACATGCCGGTGATTCGATCGGCCATTTTTGGCGGGTCTGAGGTCGAAGCAGGTCTAGTGCCTTACTAGTAGTAACAAGAAGCTATTAGAAACAAGTGCATCG